ATAATTATGTGACTAACAAAATGATTATGTTTGTATCACATAGTAACTTTAAGGAACTGACATAGTAACTTTAAGGAACTGATAAAGACAGAAATTATGTGCTGATATCCAAATGCTATCAGACACTGCTTTTATTTGTGGGATAGCCAATTCTGACTCCAGGAGACAAAGCTAACCTCTAGAAACAAAGTCAGCAGTTAACCCTGGCCATGCGTCAAAGCTGTAGTTACATCCACACACACCTCAGCACACGGCAAGGCAGAGAGGCTGCGTCCTTGCACATGTACTCACTGATATTCTGTTGTTTATTACAAGTTTGCTCTGAAGATGAAGGTAACTTGAGTAATGAAGGTTAATAAAGAGAAACCTTCATATTTGTACATGTATATGTAATGTATCTTTCTGTGTATGCACATGTGCATTTGGGCATGCAGGCCAGAGGTCATGATCAGGTGTCAAATATCTTTTTCAGTCACTCTTTTAACTTTTTTTGTTTTGTTTTCTCCAAACATTGACAGACCTTATTGTAGGAGGATTCCCACCTGGGACCCCACCCTTTTAAATAAAAAAAAGTGCATAAAAAATCAATTAACTATTTTTTGAGGCAGGGTCTCTCACTGAACCTTGATCCCACCAATTGGCTGGACTGGTGGGTCGGTGAACTCTGGGTATCACTCATCTTTGCCCCCACAGTGCTGGGCCAATAAGGTACACAATGACATGCCCAGCTTTTCATGTGGGTGCTAGGGATCTGAACTCAGGTTCCTCTTATGCTGGTGAAGCAAGCACTTTACCAACTGCGTCACCTCCCCAGCACCAGCACGGTTTAAACTTTAGAGCTGGAACACCTGAACCTTGAAAAAGAGAGATTGGGAGAGTATTCTCTGTCATTCTTTCCCTCCCTCCTTCCCTCCCGCCCTCCCTCCCTCCATGTCCCTTTCTTCCTCTGTGCATGTTATTTTTTTCATGTGTGTGTGAAAGCCAGAGGGCAACCTTGGGTGTTTTGGGGGTATCGTCCATCCTTTTTTTAAATTAAAGATTTATTTATGATTTTTATTTTATGTGTGATGTAAAAGAGTTTTGCCTGCATAAATATAAGTAGACCACATGCATTTTTGGTGCCAAAGAGGATTTTCAGAGCCCCTGGAATAGTGTTATAGAAGGTAGTTGGTCACCATGTGGGTGTTGGGAACTGAAACTATGTTCTCTTCAAAAACAAGCTCTTTTTATTTTTGGTCTTTTGGGGACAGGATCTTCCTGTAGCCCGAGCTGGCCTGGAACTCACTATGTAGACCAGGCTGGCCTTGAACTCACAGAGATCCACCTGCCTCAGCCTCCCAAGTGCTGGGATTAAAGGCATGCACCACCAGGCCCAGCCCAAGAACAAGTGTTCTTAACCACTGAGTCATCTCTCCATGCCCTTCTATTCTCTTATAAAAATGAGACAAGGTCTCTCACTGGCCTGGAACTTACGAAGTAGGCTAGGCTGAGCCCCAGGGATTCGCCTATCTCTGCCTCCCACCACTAGCTTCCATAGCTGCTTCAGGTCCTGTTGTATACAGTGTACCCTTTTCAGGAATGGCTCTTGCTGTGGCTAATAGGAGTCTGCATATTTAATTTTTAATATGAGTTCTGGGGACCAAACTCAAGTCCTTATGCTTGAGAGACAAACACTGTATTGATGGAACTATCTTCCAAGCTTGGAATTTTGGTTTGCTTTTAAAGAAATGATTTGAAAATTTTAAGATATACAGCACCTATGTCATACTTGTTATATAACAAACTATATTTAGGATATAGAGCAACCTTCTGATTGCTAAAAATATACCTCTACAATAGCAAAAACTGTAATATGACCCTTTATAGCTTTATACATGTTTAGTACTAGAAACACATTCTATGGTATATACATGTTGCTATATTTACAGAGTAAAAGGATCCCTTGTTTAGATTATTAATATAAAAGAGACTTTTGGTAGTTATTATGCTATTTGTTTTTCTCTATTTTCCAAAATGAAATTAGTTGTTATTAAAAAACTTGTTACAACAATCACTTGTTTTAACTCATTATGAAATGACAAATATACTTGAACTGATCATTCTGTTAAATGTTCTGCAATAAAGAATAAATCGAGGGCTGGAGAGATGGCTCAGCAGTTAAGAGCACTGACTGCTCTTCCAGAGGACCCAAGTTCGAGTCCTAGCACCCACATAGTGGCTAACAACCATCTATAACTACAGTTCCAGGGGCTCCAACACCCTCTTCTGATGTCTGTGTCATGCACAACATGGGTGCACCTACATACATGCAAGTAATACACCCATACACATTAAAAATAAATAAAAATTTTTTAAAGAATAAATCTATTAAGTAAAACATTTGCTATTCTTCTATATTTGAAATGTTCATTTTCATTAAAAATTATAAAAATGTTACAAAACTATTGTTCAAGACATTGGAAAGGTTTGAGGCATAAAAGCATCGAAAATGTTTTGTTAAAATGTTCCTCAGAAAAGCGTCAGCTATTGTTCTCTAGGTAATCACTCAAGGACTTATGTTTTATTTTTATGTTCACTATCTAAATATTCAATGGCCAAGATATTTTCCAACGTGAATGCTTTATACTTGGGTTGCTCTCTTATCTGTATCTAGCAAGGAGTGATGCATCTTTTCTCTCTTTACATTTGCCTGTCTAATAATGTTGATGTACTATCAAACAGTATGGCAGCTCTTTCAGAGTTATGATTCCAAAAGTGCTTAGGTATTTTTCCTAAGACTATTTATCACAAAAATGTGTAAATATTTTGGTATTGTACTTAAATTACTAAACAGCACATACAATCTTCCTATTTGTGCTCTCCAGTGTTGAGGTGTTCCCTGAAGGACGAAGAAGCTGCCCTGGTGCCGCGAGCTCTGCTGTCCCTATCACACTCACTGTTTGGAGAGGATCTCACTGTGGCTACAGGACTGTGCATGTTCACGATGCTGACATGTGGCTGGCATGCTCTGTCTGCTGAGGTAGCAAATAAGATAGAAGGTAACGAGCCCTGTTAGTGAACTGTTCACCAACTGTTCACATGGAAACTGGATAGCCAGGGGTCCTGCGAAAATATCCATAAACACCTCCCTTTCCTCTTGTCTCAGATATGGAGCTGTGTTCTTACAGTCTGTGCAGCTTCGTTACTACATAAAGTACACAAGGGACACTTAGACACAAGGGAAGAATGGGAGGATGATCTCAAATCACTGCTCTCTTTAAGCTGGACTTCTTCTCATATCAACGGTTCCAAAAAACTTGCTGCCCTCGACTTGCTGAGGGTAAAAGTACAGAAGATCATTAGCAAGTTTATTATTTAAAATTCAAAATACGCTTCTGAAGCTCAACAGGATTCAAATCTTCTCAAATTATTCCTTATATCCCAAAGTTACTTTCAAGCAGCATTTTACAAAGAGCTATCGATCATCAATGGTTGAGTCCCCGGCACAGAAGGTGCTATAGGAAACGGAATGACCGACAGTCACAGTAGTCACAGTTCCTTGTGCTTTTCCCTAATGGAGAGAAAGTCCTAGGTAAACAGAGTACAAACAAGATGGCAGCAGTGGGAAAGGAAATGTGATGGGGACCAAGCCAAGTACCAATATAGTAAAAGGACATGGGATGAGTAAAAGACTCCAAAGTTTCCATGCCTGTCAGTGAGAAGGACACTAAGGAAAATGGGGAGAGGAGGGAGGGATGGGGCTGATCTAGGATACGCAGAGTGTTCATGGAACACTCAGTTCTGAGTCTCAGGGGGAAGATTATAGCATTTGATAGGTACATTTGGTACTGAGATAACCTACATGAAAAAAAAAAAAAAAGGAGTATATTAGTGCAATGTTCCAAAATCTCAGGCACAAGGTTTGAAAGGAGCATCTGGTCATTATTACAGTAATCCTGGAAAGGCCAGTGAGAACTCCATCAATTGTATCTCTTCTTTTCCATCCAGTGCCTGCTTGAAATGATGGGAATACTGGCT